TTGCTCAAGAGGAGTTATTTATTTCCCCATTTATCTTCCTCTCCTGATGTGGCAGCACAGAATTGCAGACCCTGCTCCTGAAGCCAAACACCAGATCCCCACTGACGCCCGGGGGACTCATCTGCATGTGCTCCAGCAGCAAGCCCTGACTGACAACAGCTTTCACTGACACAAGTGTTTTTCTCAGGAGAAACCCAAAAAAAGGGCACTGAAAGAGAACAGTGCTCACATACCTATACCTTAGGTTGCCAGGTCCCAGTAAGACATAAAACCACATCTGGTGCAAACAGCCCAGTGCTCAGACCTGTGAAGGTTTTGCAGGGAGAGGTAACTGAGTGAATAAATCCGAGAGCAGCAAGAACCAGGACTGACACACACTGTACATCCAGCACCACTTCAGTGCTAGCTTTGGCAAAAATGCAGCTTCTCTTATCAGCAGAGATAGCTTTGAAGTGGCTGGCAAGCCTCCATCTAACACTCAAACAAGTAAGACCCTCCACATCGTAACACAGGCCTGGAGAGGGATCTGTTCATCAGAAGACACGAACAGAAAAACTGCCTGAGACCAAGCCACAGCCCATGGAGACTTCCCAGGACCCTGCAAATCCAAACACCATCCCCCTGAAAACCTGTGTGTGCTGCAGGCACCACTGCTGGAATTTCAGGAGTTCACTGGTTTCAAGACAGACCCATCCAAACCCTGCTGCACCCTTTGTATATAAATGGTCCAAGAGCGAACACAAGAATCAACCTCAGCCTGAGGCTTCTCCAGCACAGTCTCTGGAAGAGACAAACCCCACGTTGCCACCACAGCAGACACCCCTGGTTTGCCCCCCGTGGGCTCCGTGCTTCTCCAGCTGCAACACATCCAGCTCCCACCCTGCTTCCCTCTGCATCTCTGCTGCCCCCACGGATGTTCCCTTCCCAGCACAGACCTTATCACACCCACTCAGGCCCTTTGCAGCCCTGAGGCTGGATTACAGCTGCACTTGGATGTCTCTCCTTTGAAAACACTCACCACTTCAGACAGTGCAAGATACAGCAACTCAAGAGTTCAGCAACAAAAGGGATCTGAAGTACAGCCTTCTTACCCTGCCCGTCTTCCCTAGCTCACCTGCTCAGCCCTCGCATGACACAAAGCACTGATTTGAGAAAGCCCTGAATTATAAACGGCCCAAGAAAAGGATCTCATGCCCCAGGATTTTGTTTCAGCAAATGAGGATCTCTGTGTCACTCATCCTCTCCATATTTCATGGCATAATTTACAACCCAGTGCATAGTTCCTAAACATAAGTTACTAGAGCACCTGCCATCAGCCAGACACATGCAGCACTTTTTACAAGGTTATCTCCACACAGATGTGTTAAAAATACGTTCCTCAGAACATAATGAAGTGTCCTTGTTTTTAACACAGACTCCTCAGATAGCATGAGACAAGGACAGAGCTCCCAAATCACCAGTGAGATTGGCAGCATGATTCCAACAGCTACCATTTCCTTTGGAAAACCAGGTAAGCCAAGCTCTGGTGTTAAAGCAAAGCTGAAGGCCCTGAGAGCATCACAGCTGAGGCTCTTCCTCCTGCAGGCAGCACTTCCCTGACCTGCAGAGCCTTTCAGCTCGAGTACCCTCTGTGTGCCAGAGCAGACAGCAGATCCTGCAGCACCAGTGGCTGAGCTGGAACGTCCGTGTGGCACAGGAGAGGCAGGAAACTCTGGTCTCAGAAGGATACAGCCAGTTATTTCACTGACAAAGCCTGGCTAATTAGATCTGCTGAGATGCAGCACCACACTCATTCAGCTGAGCCATTCAGAGCTTGTTCACCTTTGGGTTTTCACTGGGACCTCCAAATCTGCTTCCACAGCTTCACAGGTTTGCAGCAGGGCTCAGAAACCCTGTTCTCTGTGCAGCTACTGTGCAAATTAGATCTGTTTCAGGACTGCTAAAGAGTGCTCAGTTTCCTGAGCTGCCACACAGCTTGGTAGCTCTTCTGCATTAAAAAATGGGAAAGGATGTCTTAAGTTTATGACAGGATGGAAGCAGCCAAGGGGAGAGGGAGGAGAATGGTCTTTTAGGTTCTCAACAATAGGGCTACCTTCCCCTTGGGCTAACATCACCTCCACCTCCCAGTTAGAGGCACAGAAGCACACGCCCCTCCTAAGTATCTTGCTGGGTCACCTCATTATTCCCCTTCAACACCTACAGATACTGATACAGCCAGGCATCCTGGCTTTGTCAGCCACTTGCTGACCAACCCTGGACAAATGACTTCATCCACCTGTCCCTGTTTTTTCATCCACAAAAAGGTACCATTTGTCTGCTTACAGTCCAGAGATATTCTGAAGATTGCCTGTCATACCCTTGGGATATACTGAGGGGTTTTACAAATAAACCTTTTTAAATCCATGAAATATGGGGTTGATTTGCAGATTTCAACTACACACCACAACTGTTTTCTAGCCTACAGTAGTTGTTGCAATAATTCATGCTGCTTCTTGTGGCTTAGGAAGGTGAGACCCTCAGTGAAAAAGGACAGGGAGGAGCAGATCCAAGTTCAACCAAATGTCTCTGTTTATCAGCTGCTATCTTATTCAACTACGTGACTCCCTAGATAAAGACAGGATGCAATTGTTGTTTTTAACCACCCAGCACAAGTGGAGCAGCAATCTAATACCTGTGTTGGCCTCCAGCCAATTTGGTGTGCCTGGCAAACAGGCAGGCAGCAAGTAGTTGGAATTGAGCAACAAGTGCCCTTTTGTTAGCACAAATTAATAGGGAGTTGCATTTGGTCTCAGAGAAATAAACCAGAGGGGGTTTAGTTGTTAGTTGGTTATTTGCTTGTTTTTGTTAAAGCCCTAATGCCCTAAATAAAATAAACCAGATTGAGACCATGCTTATACAAGGGGCTGAAAATCAAGGTGCCAGTTTCCAGCCAAACTGGGATGGTATCACTTTCCATGTACTTCCTTGCTGAGGCATTTTCTCAGCCACTTTGTTCAGGCACAGCCCTTGTTGAAATTCAGTGGGGAGATTACTGATCCTTTGGAAGGATTAAAGGAATTGAAGAGGAACTGCCATTCAATAATCCCGTGTAAGTATCTAATCAACCATAATGTAATTACCAGAAAGTTTTAAAAGGTCAAAAAGGTCTTTATGTGACATAACTTGAAAATGAGAAGGTTCCTCATCTGCTTGGGCAACGTCTCAGAAAAAGAATTGAAAGAGAAATGGAGAGAAACTCTTCAATACATTTTTCCTGCTCTGTTGCTATACATTGAAAAACTCCATAAATCCAGAGGACAAGGAACACAAAAGTGCACTTGAACTTATTTCCATTCTCCTACAGAAATCAGTTGCCAACACACACAAAACACCTGCCGTGAAAGGGGAAATTTCTCCTGCTCTCCAGGTAACACACAACAAAACACTGCTCCTTCAAGTGCATCTTAACATGAATTATCCCGCATGAGATTTAGCCTTGTTCATTTTCTAGCAGTCTAAAAGGACTGCACTACACAGACTCTCTTTATCACTATCGAGGTGTTCAGAAATACCTGAACACTCCTTCCTCAAGACACTTCAAAAGACTGTCAAGACCAGAGTGAGAAGTCAACGAGGCCTCCAATTACTGCCAAGTCAGCACCTAAATAGATTTGAATTTTAAAGTCACACTCTACTCACATGACTCTTCTTTAATATAACAGCTGACACCACTGAAGGCCAAAAGGCAGACATGAAAGTAAACTAGGAATTTTTTATCAGGTGTTCCTCTGCCATGTCTCTCTCTTAGGGGCAGTGTGATTTAGGGTGTGTCTCCACAAAAGTACTCTTTGGAAAGCTCAGGTCCTTCCACAGCCCCCTCTCCAGGCCTTGCCATAGTAGGAATAACTCTCACAGATCATGACACATTGCAAGGGGGTGGGAAGTGGGGGGAGAGAAATTGCTTTCCAAGTTAGAATTGCAATGTTTTTAACATGTTAACAAGCAGATGTTGCAGCCATTGACAAACCTCTCAAGAGGCTACACATTACCATTTAATGGGAGTTTCAAAGCTTCCATATCATGTTTCTTCAAGTGGAAGAACAGATTCTTAATAGTGAAACTACACTCCCACATTGCCCCACCTTTTTTTTTCCAGGTGGAAATCAAGGGGAGAAAAAGAGAACAAGGCTAACAAAAGAGACCTCAGCTGTGTTTTCTCCTTTTTCCAGAGAAGGACAATATATTCTTTTATTATCTGACATAGTAGGAATTCTCCCTAATTTCCCTTTTAACAGTAGTTTCTCCTCTGCAGTGGATATAAACCTGTCTTTGGAGAGTTTTCTTTATTATGTTCAGAGTTGAAAACCTGGAGGGTTTATCTTATTTAAAAAGAGTTTCAAAATGCATACAAAACTGTGAACAGCTTAAAGGGAAAAAAAAACCCAACACAAACATGGCCTGAATTTAGACCAACAGGTCTCAACAGACCCCTTTTGGGAAAGGACTGAAATACTTGGAGAAAATTACTACAGAAATCCAAGGTATGTGGAGCACCAGTGTCCAACAAAGAGGGGAAACTGCTCCATGTGTTGGTCACAGCCAACAAGAAACGGATCCAGCAGAAGTAACAGCAATAACTTTGTATTTCAGGAGGGCCAAACATAATGACATGAATTTTAACACTTAGTTACCTTCTTGAACAGGCGCCCCGAGTCTTCGCTGACCTGGACAAAGCGGGGGATGATGTTGTTGAGATAGATGTCACTGAGGGTGGTGTGATCCCTGCTCTGCAGCTTC